TATTATTTTTTTTTATGATTTCTACCAACATTCATTTCTGTGTCAGTGAGTAGCGTGATATTCTTACTGGGTTAATGTAGCTCATTCTTTCATTAACTATTTCAGATCAAGAGAACCAGGATCTAGAGCTCGATCCATAAAAGGATTGCGAGTAGAACGTTCAGTCATTTACTTTTAATTTTTTTTTGTTATTAATTGTTCTTTTAGAAGGGTTATTTCCATAAGTTCCATTTGGTACTTTTAGTTATTATGTAAGGAAGGTAAATCCTAACTATTTATTTCACTTCTGCACTAAATTTATAATTTATTTCTTTTAAAATCTTCAGGATCGTTATAGTTGGTATCAAAACTGTGTTCTTCGGAACCATTCCTTACACAAAGTCCTTATGAAACACCAAAAATAATGAATTATCACTCAACAATTTCTTGTGAAATGCAGGTACAGATAGATGAGGAGAAGAAGACCCTCACTAAACTGAGTAGCCCGGGAGGGTTCACTTCAAGAGGATGTTGACCGGTTATTTGAGATTTTTGAGAGACTCATCGCTGCCCAGCAAGCCCGAGAGGAAAGGAGGGAACTACCTGACCCTCCCCCGTTGCCACAAGTTGAGTCACCCTTGTAGCGATAAGATCCCGAGCCACCTCGGTACGACCCTGCTCCTCTATAGTACCACCCGGCACCACCACAGTATGGCTCAGTGCTCTAATCGCATCACCCGGTACCACCACAGTACAATCTGGTGCCCCCACCGTATCATCCAATACCACCGCATGGCCATCTAATCCATCTTTAGCACAGTCCAGTCCCTCTTCCACGAGACGTAATACCTCCCATGATGGACTCAAACTATATTGAGAGGTATAAAAGACTAAACTCATCTACTTTTATAGGGGAATCTTCCTTTGAAGATGCTGAGTACTGGTTAGTTGAAACAGAGAAGGGCTTCACGACTCTTGGGGTGACTCCCGAACAGAGGGTCATACTTGCCTCTTACATGCTGGTGGGAGAGGCAGGCCGCTGGTGGGAGAGGCAGGCCGCTGGTGGCAACTCAAGTAGGTCACCCTACCCGTTCCAGTCACTTGGAAACAATTTTTGACAGCCTTCAATGCAGAGTACCTTCTAGAGCATCTCCAAAATCTGAAGAAAATGAAGTTTGCACATTTGGTCCAAGATGACATGACTGCATTAGAATATGCTCAAAAGTTCTTAGAGTTGGGTAGGTATTCCCCCAAGAGCATGATGGATGAACACAAGAAGGCAAGAAGGTTCGAATGGGGTCTCCGTTCTGAGATCAGACAGCAGTTGTATGTGTTCAAACTCAGCACTTACTCTGCTGTTCTGGCTAAAGCACAATTAGTGAAGAGAAACCTTCGTATTTTTCCTCCAGTAGTAGGGAACCTCAGGCCCTCGGCTCCACACCGCAGACCAACACCTACTGCACTTGTTCAACAGAACAAAAGACCTAGGCTGATGACTCAGGCTCCCCCTCAGGTTCTAATAACAGGACGCAATAAGACCTATCAGCACTGTGGCAAGGATAATGGGAAACGACCCTACTATTGCCTCAACAACACTTACCGCATATGTGGTAGCACCCAACATTATGTAAGGAAGTACCTGAGGAACCAGAACCAGGTCAAACCTCCTATGTAGGGCAGAGCTTACAACCTCATTCAGTATGATGCAGAAGCCAACTCGGACGTGGTACAAGGTATGTACACTATCTGTAACCATCTTGCTCATGTTTTGATTAATACTGGTGCATCGCACTCATTTGTTTCATATATTTTTTCATCAAAATTAAATGTATTACTTGAAAAATTTGATTTTATGTTGTTTGTGTCTACTCTTTGGAGTAGAACACTACTGGATGAGGTTATATACAGAGCCTGTGTCATATATGTAGTAGATAGAAAATTGAGTGTGGACCTAATAGAAAT